GAGATTCCTTTTTTATTTAATTTTTGTTTGTTATTTTTATTCATTTAGAAGTTCTGGTTCTGGACATTTCAATGTTAAATGAAGGTTTATTTGTTGCATTTTAAAGGGTGTACTTGCATTATTATGATATATTAACATTATATTAGTGGTTATTTTGGTCTAGATAATGTTGACAATGATATCGTTTATCATCAACAATTTGTTGGACAAAATATTGTCCAGATAAATTTGTTACTTTCCCAGGCCTAGTCAAAAGTATAAAAATTATTTATACATAAACGGTCCCTCCTGAGATCTGGCCGTTTGTTCATTTGCTGTGTTAGAGGACATGCTGAACTAATGTTTTACACATGATCATCACCCTAACATTTGAGTGTATAAAAACATATTACATATGTTTTTTTCCCTTAAAAGTGTTTAAACAGTTGTTGCATTTCAACACACAAAAAATAAATGGAAAAAATAAGATAAATCTAATGAAAAGTGTACATCTTTGACATTAAGCTTAAAAAATCTGTTGACGATGATGATACTGTTCATTTTTCAGAGCTTTTTAATGTGAAAATATACATTGCAATAGATAAGTTTACAATAAAGTTAAATGATAAAAGTTTTGAAGTTACACTTCTACTACTACTAGTAATAATAATTATGATGATAATAGTAATAATAAAAAAAATAATTATAATAATACGAATAAATTGTGTCTGAGGAGTCAGTTATGTGGAGGAGATGAGTTTGTAAAAGTTAGTTTTGAGTATGTTTGTGAAGGAGGAGGTGAGTCTGAGCTTAATGCAGGTCTGTCACATGTTCCAACTTACGTTTTGACTTTGAAAGAAGTCTCTTATATCCACTTTTCGTTTTCTTGACATGCTGCCTCCTGGCTGTGCCTAACTACCAAAGACTCACAAATGAACACTTATTCAAATGTTATGTAATGGAAGCTGAGCTGAGCTCTGATATTACACAGCGTCTAGTTGACGATGTGACTCAGTACCGGTGTTCCCTAGCGGCTCCAAACTAGCAAAACAACGTGAGCACGTTCTGACTGTTTACAACTTGAGTGACAGCAGCAACAGCCAATAATACGTTAGCAAGTATCAGCAGAGCCAATAGATTAGCTTTTGGGCGGGTCTAATAGTAAACCGGTTTCCGTTTCGGTCCTAGTGCTCAACCAAATCCATTTAATGGAGCGTAACATTGTTTTTGGACGGAAAAAAGTGCAGGGGACCAAAACTGCCTTTTGAAAAAGTGGGGGGGACATGTCCCACCCGTCCCCCCCCAAAATTACGTCCCAGGCATCAGCCAATCATGAAGAGCTTAAATGTACACCCACCAATGGTGGGCACCCCTGTGGGTATACTGTGTAAGTGGAGCGACTCCACTGTTCGCCTCCGTTATCTCTTCAAGCCAAGCTTAAGAGCTTTCATTAAAGAGCAATTATCCATTATCCAAGAGCATTAATCTACTCACCGACCATGTCCAGCAATGTCAGGACCTGCCCGGCCTGCTAGACGGGCTGCATCTCCAGCGGCGACCTGTACGCCAAATGTGGGGTCTGTCACGGGTCTCATCACGCTGGCCTGGCCTTGACCCCCCCAGGCCTCGTGCCCGTTTTGTGCCACTCTGCCCATGGCTGAAAAGATCTGCCGGGTTGAGTACTTCACCCCCGCCACTTATGAGGAATTTCCGGTGACTGACACATACTCGCTGGACAAGGCCTTACAGTTCTTCAATGTCGGCCAGGAGCCGGCTGGCTCCAACGACGAAGCTGGCCGCTATAGCCCTTCTTCCCTCCTGGACAACATGGAGGTTGAAGAGCCTCTCTCAGCAGGTTCCTCTGCTCCAGTGCATTCTCGCTACTCCCTGCCAGAAGTTAGAGCACTTTTCCAGGAGCTACCTGCCATCATCTCCACGGCTGCGATCCACAAGGGGCTAGCCGTGCCAGAACCGGCTCCGCCTGAAGCAGATGATTTGGTGGGAATTTTCGGGGCAACACAAATGCACTGTCCAGACCCCATCTGGCCGCGCTTCCCTGCTGCCACGAGCTGCTGGTCCGCCCCCTTCTCCGAACCTGCTAAGCTCAAGGCGCCAATTTCCACATATGCGCCCATTACCAAAGTCGGCTTCTCCAACCAGGGCTGACCATCCGTTCCTCCACTGGAGCCAGACTTGGCCTCGTTGTTTGGCGCCAAGAACCACCTCGCTGGCCAACGAGCAGTTTCCGCTTCTAAGCATGACCATCTGCTGGAGTGGCTCACCGATCACCAGTGCGCCTTCCAGACTGGCGCTGCAGAAAATAACATCCCCCTTCTTGCCTTTGGCGTTTCCAAAATGGTGGAAGAGCTTGACGCTCCCGACGAGTCAAAAACCATTATTACTAAAACTGCTGATGCCATTCTCAATCTGTGTGCTGCTGTACTCACCGGTTCTGCTCGCATTGCTGCCTGGCAGACCCTTATCCTGTGGGCCTTGTGGCTCGAGGCCCTGCCCTCTATTCCCGAACACCTGCACAGAGAGATGCTGGAAGGCCCCATCACCTCTGACGTTCTGTTTGGTCCCCATCTTAGGAGCGTCATTGAGAGGGCTCAGAAGACAGCTGAACTGTCAGCCACTTTGCGAGACCTGGTCCACCCCCGGTCCGCCTCTCACTCCGGCCGCTCCTCCAGAGGATGGGACGAATGGCGTGGAAACTTCAGACGCCCAGCTGCACCGCCCGCCCCACGGAGCCGGCCTCCCGCTTCGGTTCCACCTCAGCGGGACCAGAGAGTTGGCAGCCAGCGTTTTCAAAAGAGCCAGCAGACACCGTCCTGGCCGTCACAGTTGCAAGAACCTCGCCGAAAGCAACCACGAAAATGACTCGTTGTGGGGAATGTGTGCTTCTGACTGTAATGTTAAATCTGTGAATGATTTTGGTTTTGAAATAAAACCCCCAAAACGTCACATTGAGAGCACAATCCTACAGTCCTCTGCAGAATCCTCTGCCGAATCCTCACACATGTTCCCCACACCAAGCACTGCGACACACTTGCATGTTCACGCAGTCGATCATGTTACACGCCCACAGCCAGCTGTATGGGTGTGCTCCATTTGCACACCGGCCCTAGCTTCCTACCAGGCCCAACACATCCTGCTCCCCCCACAACGTAGGGTGGAACAGGATGTCATGGCGCTATCGCGACCATGTGCGGCGACACAGTGCGTGGCTCCATCCGCTGGCACTTTGTAGTCACCGTGCACGGGTCCGGCTCCCACTCGTCCTTCATCTTTGGAGACCACGCTCCGCGGTGCAGATCAGCCTCTTCCAGCTGTTTCACAGTCACCCTTTCGAGCGCAACCCTCCATGGGTCGCTCCCAGTTCTCTGGTACAAGCAACGACGGTAAGGCCGCAAACCCAGTCCTCAGATGTCGTTCACGTGACCTCGAACACGCCCGCAAGAATGGCGCCACCTTTAACTCATGAGCAAATGGATATCGGACACCATTCGTTACGGTCACACACTCCATTTTCAGTCCGCTCCTCCTCCCTTCAACGGGATCATGGAGACGACGTTCACGTCACAGAAACAATCTCAGACCCTGGAAACTTCTGTCCAAGGATGCCATTTCCCAAGTTCCTCATGGGCAAGAGCTCTCAGGCTTCTACTCCCGCTACTTCGTAGTACCGAAGAAGTCAGGAGGAATGAGGCCAATTCTCTACCTTTCCCTGTTCAACTGCTCCATAGCAGTGATGCATTTCCGCATGTTAACAATGAGGCAAGTCCTAGAATACGTGCGCTCCGGGGACTGGTTCACGTCAATAGACCTGAAAGACGCATGCTTCCACATCCCAGTAATTCCCAAACACCGGAAGTTCCTGCGCTTTTCATTCAAGGGTGCACCGCCAAGGCCTGGTGTACGACAGGTACACCGCCAACTGCTCTTGTGTGGCCATCAGTGAGCCTTTGGGCTTCTTTCTGGTTCTTAACATTCAGCTCCTTGTTAATTGAGAATCCTGTGGTGGATTTCAGGTGATTTAGACAGGCTCCAGCTGAAAATTCCATGCTGATCTTTAGGGATAAGTCAAAATATAGTTGTTGTGAAATATTGCAATACAAAAGGGTTGGACAGTGTATTGTGAAATAATCAGTGATTCTTCCCAAATACATTCTGTTTTACATTTCATTGAGACTTGTTTATCATACGCTCCTGCCTGCGTGCAAAAAGAAGATGGAAGATACAGGTTTCATGCATCACTACAGTTACTGAAGAGTTGTCTCCTCTCCTATCAGGCGAGGCTGCAAAAACTGCTTACATGTCAAACTTGGTGTCTTCGGACTATCATAGTCCTCAAGTGATTTTTATTGTGTTTAAAGGTGAACTCTGTAAAAGTTGGACAGTAAAATAATCAGAAAACCGTCCAATGAGTCTATCACATTGCAGGAAGGTTACAATGACCAGATCCCCTTTCAGCTGGCTAGGGAAGGCCAAGGTTTCTGTTTTCAAATTTGGCTGGGCCGTGATGGCTTTTCTGTTAACAAACAGCACCCCCCTCATTCTTCCTGTTCCCAGAGCCAATCTTATCTGAGCCTGGAGCTTTTTTTTTCCTCCTGGTTAGTTGAAAGTGTGCTGGCTTCACTTCTCTCTACAGCACTGTTTCAACTAACCAGGACAGAAAAAGGCACCTCATGGCTGGAGATAGCTGCCGGTGGAGAGTGGAGGCCAATAACAAGCGTAATATAGCGATGATGCTGGAGAAGAGGCAACCAGCAGGTAACACACCAAGGTCAAATATGATTGGCTTTGGGACCAGGAAGAATGAGAGGGGTGCTGTTTGTTAACAGAAAGGTCATTTTTGAAAACAAAACCTGGCCCTCCCCAGCCAGTGATTGTGGTTATTTTACTGTCCAGTTCTTACATCGTTCACCTTTAATGAATGCTGATTGAACTTGTCTTTGTGAACATCATTGTGCTGTCTGTGAAGTAACTCAAAGAGAGATGTGTGGTTTTCTCCTGCAGGTGGACCCAGCAGAATACCTAGACACCTGTCTTTACCTGTACTGTACTCTACCATCTAAAGAGAGGGAGAATGCAGTGTGTGACACACTAGCTAGCTACGTCCGTGAATGTACACAGCAACACATCCCTATAATCTGGAGGACAGCCACACTTTGTGGTAAAGAATAAGACCCTTAATATCTGCCATTTGACTGTTATTTTAGAAGCACAGCAATCTTTCTAAACTAACAACTGTCTCTTGATCATTGTTTCAGATCGCGTCTGTCCTCGAGGTCTAGTCTTTTCAGACTGTGTGTCCTCCTGTCCCCCTAGCTGTACCTCCCTCCAGCCCCTTGGCTTTGCTAAAGGAATGGGGCAGTGCAGAGAGGAGTGTGTAGGGGGCTGTGAGTGTCCTCCAGACCTCTATGTTCACCAGGATGTCTGCATCAAAAGAGATGAGTGTCCATGTCTTTATCGCAGGCACACTTACCAGCCTGGGGACACGATACAGCGGAGATGCAATACCTGGTAAGATTTATTTTTAATGATTTATATGGTTTATTTTTAATTTTTCCTGTGTGTTTGATTTGGCTCCTCCCAGTGTGTGTAGGGCAGGTGAATGGAAATGCACCGCTGAGAAGTGTGCAGGTCTGTGTACTCTGGTAGGGGCCTTACAAGTCACCACTTTTGACAAAAAGCGGTACTCACTTCAAGGAGGAGACTGTCCATTTATTGCTGTGGAGGTTAGACAAACTGCAGAGCATAAAGGTTTGGACTATTTAAAATTTGTGTGCTGCAGCCACTTTTCCTCCTTTGTGTTGGTTCAGGACTATGTGGACAGAAAGCTGGTGGTGAGTGTACGATGTGGGGGATGCAGACAAGGTGAAGGTGGACAGGAAAAGAGCTGTCTAAGAGAGATATCTGTCTCAGTCCTGCGTACTACAGTCACCGTCACAGACACTGGTGAGGGACTTAACCAATCATCAGTCATTTCAACATTTTTGATAATTTGTGTAAGTTGGGGAAGTTCTTTTAGATGGAAGAATGAAACTGACACCAACTGACATCTGACAGCTTTATTCTCAAATCTTGTAATGCTTGCATGCAGAACTGCTCTTTTTCAAAAATACTCTGTCCCCTATTCCTCTTTGTTTCTGCACTCAGATTTTATGCTTCTTGCACAAATAGTTTCTTCAAGCATGCAAAATTTCTCTCTGTCTTTCATCTCAGCTCTCAAATTGTTTTTGCACTTGTTCTCAAATCTTGGATCATTATCTCCTAGACACTGCCCAGTCAGTTGGTGGACAGTATGGAACTGGACAGTGACAAACTTACTTGGGGTGTGCTTGTTTTCTTAACGTAGGTTTTTCTGTACGCCTTCAGTAGATAGCTGCATCTGCTTTTACTGTGCCACTTGGATGTAGGGAGAAACAACTTCAACTATTGATTTCACACTTTTTTATGCAAGCTGAACATGAAAATAGTCTCCTACACCGATCTCCTGCATTAGCTTCTGATAGAAAATAGATGGTGAAACAGTTCAGTAATATAGGGAGGAGCTTGACCATGTAGAGCCCTGAAGGTTCTAGTCAGGATTCTAAAATGAAGTCTAAAGTTAACGGGTAACCAGTGCAGAGACACCAGAATAGGAGTGATGTGTGCTCTTCTGTTTGCTCCAGTTAGGAGCCTTTCTGCAGAGTTCTAGACCGACTGAAGGCAGTCGAGGGCTTTTTTGTTAAAAAATGTGGTGTGTGTTACAGTAATCTAGACGGGAGGAGATAAAAGCATGGAGAACCAAAACAGAGCTTTGGGGTACCCCACAGAACAGATGGGTAGAATCTGACATGATTTGGTTTCTAGAAACACTGTAACTTGTAACTGTAAAGGAAAAGAAAGAAAGAAAATTGTCTTTTATATAGCGCATCTCATGATAAAAATCATGAGGCACTTCACCAGAACACAAATAAAAATTTAATTAAATTAAAGATTAAAAAATAAAAGAAATGAGAAAAATAAAATAATTGTTATTAAAAATGTAAGGAAAGTGAATTAGAAAATGAATAAGAAAGAGGTAATCAGTGGATCCTGAGAAAGGCAGAGTAAGGAGAAGGTGGTAATGAAGGTCAGTCAAAAGCCAGCCTGAACAGGTGAGTTTTCGCCTTCTTTGAGAATAAGATCACCAAGTCCACTAATCTCAGGCTCAGGGGGAGAAAGTTTCACAGTCTGGGGTTCACATCAGCAAATTATCTGTCACCTTCGGTCTTAGGAAGTGTGAACAAGACAACTAACACAAGAATCCAGGGTGAGAGCTGGGTCAAAGGTCACACCAAGATTCCTGGCAGAGGGTTTGGTGTGAGAAGCAAGCTGACCAAGAGAGTCTCTGACTTTGGGAACCAGCTTGTCTGGGGCACAGATGAGGATCTCAATCTTATTTTTATTCAGCTGTAGAAAGTTCCCAGCCATCCAGGTTTTAACAGGTCCAAGCAGGTGTGTAACAGCTGCAGCTTAGACATCTCATGGGGCTTAAAGGAGATGTACAGTTGGATGTCATCTGCGTAAAGATGGTAGGTAAACTGTAGGCTGAGCTGTATCCTTTAAAAGATCTCAGGATGTGTTTTAGAGGAAGCAGATGGAGGAGGAAAATTAGAGGCCCCAGCATAGAACCGTGTGGGTCACCCATGGTGAGGGCGGTTGAGCAGGACCAAACTTTGAGACAGCCACAGAGAAGGTACACCTAGATTAATAAGAGGATACTCACTCCAGAGCAGTTCCTGATGGACCAGCCCAGTCTCTAACCTTTGACCCAGTTCTCATCCTGGGTTCTCACATTGGTTCTCTTGTTCGCTCTTCCTTCTTTCATCTCAGGAACATTTCTAAGCTGAGTCTGGTTCTCCAGTAGCAGGTGTTGAATGCTGCAGCCAGGACTAGCAGAACCAGAACAGAACAGTCCCCTGCATCACTGTGAGTCAGAAGGTCATTAGAGACCCCAAGAAGAGCTGTTTCAGTAGAATGAGCTCTACGAAAACCTGACTGGAAGCTATCATAGGGGTTATGTTCATCAAGAGCAGCTGTGAGTTGTTTAGCCACAACCTTTTCCAAGATCTTGGAGGTGAACGGAAGTTTAGAGATGGGTCTGAAGCTGCTATGGAGAGAGGCGTCAAGAATCGTTTTTTTAAGAAGCGGGTGGATTACAGCATTCTTAAAATAAGCAGGAACCTGACCAGAAACCAGAGAAGCATTAATAATGGAGAGCACCCTGGGACCGATGGACTGAAAAGCCCATTTAAACAAAGATGAGGGTAAGATGTCGAGGGGTATGCAGAGGTCTTCATAGAGTTAACTAGTTTGGTTAACTCAGGCAAAGAAACAGGAGCAAAGCTATCTAGGATGATGGGCCTGGTTGGAGTCAGGAGAGGCGGCGATAAGGCTGAAGGAGAGATGCTAGATCTAATCTTACTGACTTTGTCCAGAAAGAAAGACAGAAAGTTCTCACAGTCTGCAACAGAGTGGAGGCTGTAGGAGCGGCAGGAGAGACGATGCTGCTGATGGTGTTAAACAGCACCTTGGGAATCCCTTTGCTCTGGGACACCAGGTTGGAGAAATAGGAAACCCTAGCGTCTCTGACTGCAGAGTTAAAGGATGACAGAAGATCCTGACAGGTGCAGCAGATGGACGTGGAGATGGGTTTTCTTCAACAAACGCTCAATTTTTCTGCATTGGTGCTTCATGCTGCGAAGGCTGTCATTAAACCAGGGAGTGGGGTTCACTGCAGGAACTGATCTGATTCTGACAGGACAGATGTTGTCCAGAATGGAGAGGCAGTGCTCGTTAAACTGAGAAGTTAAGGAATCTGGGTCGTCATCAGAAGAACAGGGTGGATCAAAAGCAGCAGAAAAATTGCTAGCTGTGCTCTCATTAAGAAAACGTGAACTAACCATACGGCGAGCAGGAGGTGGGGACGCAGAAACTGACAAGTTAAAAAAAATACAATGGACATCTGAAATATAAACGTCCTCAGGCTAAACACTGTCAGCATTTAGACTCAGGGTAAAAACAAGGTCTAGAGTGTGCCCCCTGGTGTGTGTGGGGCCAGAAACATGCTGGGTAAAGCCAAAGGTGTCCATAAGGCTGGAGAAATTCATGGCAAAGTGATCAGAGGGCTCATCAACATGGATGTTAAAGTCACCAACAATCACCAGTCTGGACAGCTTCACAGTGGAGGATAGAAAGTCACTAAACTCCTGAAGGAAAGAACTATTTGGACCAGGTGGACAATAAACCACAGCACAGTAGAACGGGTCCTTAAGCCAGACTTTAATTAGCTGCAGTTCAAAGGAAGCAAAGTGACCAGAGGTTGTAGAGCTACATGGATGATGGTCTCTGAAAACAACAGCTAGGCCTCCACCACGACCAGAACCCCGGGGCTGGCTAAGAAAAGAATAACCACTCGGGCAGAGTTCAATCAGACCAGAATAATCAAATGTTTGCTGCCAAACTTCAGTCAGAAACAGAAAATCCAGGTTTTTAGAGAGAATTAAATCATTGAGCAGGAAGGACTTATTGTTAACAGAGCGGGTATTTAATAGAGCCATGCTGAGTGAGGTGGAGGATTCAGAAACTACAGAAACAGCTGGAGTTAGTGGGCGTTAATTAGCAGGGTTAGATCCATGGTGTTTATAAAAACCAATTATGGAGGGAACAGGAGGAGAAACTACTGAGGAATGAGGATAAACCAACCTTAAAAAACTTGGATGGATGAACCGCGCTGCAACGCGGCCTGGCGGGAATGCGGAAGTGGCGCTCAGGTCACCAAACAAAGGACAAGAAGCTGGAAGATCTCGCCAATGTTTACTAGATGAACCATAATTTAAGAGAAGTCTTATTTTCACCTGGATTCCTGCTCGTTTACCTCTTTTCCTCCGACATTTTCCCGGGACCGGGACAAACATAGCCGGAGGCGGGGAGCTCGGGACCATTGATTGGTTCCGGGCCAGTGCGCAGGACAGTGCGCCGGGCCGGGCAGCCTAATAAATTGCCATGGGGGAGTTCGATCCCTCCCACTATTGCGCGTAGCCACAGAATTACTGTGTTGGGCACATGTCCACCTGCTGTCCATCAAAGCCACCTACATTCCGGGGGTCCTGAAAGCGGCAGCAGACATCCTGTCGAGAGAGGGACCCCGCGACTCCGACTGGCGTCTGCATCCTGCACTGATATCACAGATCTGGATCAAGTTCGGGAAACCATCTGTGGATCTGTTCGCGGCTCACGAAAACGCTCAGTGTCACCTGTGGTTTCCCCTGAGTCCCCGGGACAACCCCCCACTCGGAGCGGACGCCTTCTCACACCAGCCCTGGCCTCAGACGCTCCTGTATGCGTTTCCGCCAGTCCCACTGATTCCCTGACTCCTGGACCGAGTTCGGTCGGAACAGCTCTCGGTAATTCTGGTAGCTCCCAGACGCTTGTCCGTGTCATGGTTTCCAGACCTGCAAGCGCTGGTGTCCGGCTCCCCGTGGAGGCTCCCGTGGAGGGTTGACGCCCTTCTCCAGGCGGATGGGATAGTCAAACATCCTCCAGAAATAGGCCAACGGCTGTGGGCTTGGCCGCTGAGCGGTCATGTTTAGAGACTTCTGGGCTGCCGCATGATGTGGTCGCCATGATTCAGAGTGCACAGACGCCTTCTACAGTCGCATTTTATGCTGCTAAATGGGCACCTTTCCAGGGTATCCGGGGGTCCTTAAAAAGTCTTAAATTAGCTTTTCCAAATTTAAGGCCTTAAAAATCCTTAAAAATGACAAATAATCCTTAAATACAGTTTCCAAAGGTCTTAAATTACCAAAGACCCAATAAACAAGAATTTTTTATTTCAATTTTCATGAATTTCTAGTTAGTGTTCAGCATTTTTTGTGTATGATATTGGCATAAGTGGAACCGTACACATTCAGTTGGTTGTGAAAGGGGGCTTTTTTAGATGAGCACATTAGCTGGTTAAGCTAGTGGGAGATTGCGCCATGGGGACGTGCAACTTTTATGGTAACTGGATGGCTAATCCCACATTCGCAATAGCTGGAAATTATAGTTAAAAAAAGTAGCTTAAATTTGGTCAAATTGGCCTTAAAAAGGTCTTAAAAAGTCTTAAATGTGGCTCCCTTAAACCTGCAGATACCCTGCTTTCCAGAAATGGTGCACAGAGCGGAATATTCAAGCGCTGTCCTGCCTGCTGGTGGATGTCCTATCATTTCTACAGATGCTGATGGACAGAGGTCTCGCATTCAGCACTGTTAAGACATATGCTGCAGCTATCTCATCCTGTCACTAGGGTTTTGGAGATAGATCTGTTTTCAATCATCCTCTCACAAAACGTTTTCTAAAAGGTGTCGGAAGGAACCGACCTGTGACCCGCCCGCTATTTCCCCAGTGGGACCTAACGGTGGTTCTGCGCGACTTATCTGAAGCCCCATTTGAACCCTTGGACCAGCTCTCACTCAAGTTCCTGTCACTCAAAACTGCCTTGCTGCTGGCGCTGGCATCAGTCAAGAGAGTGAGCGACCTAACCGCCCTCTCAGTGGCTCCTGCATGCCTCAGGATCCGGGAAGATGGCGGGTCTGCTGTTTTATGCCCCAACCCAGCCTTTGTGCCCAAAAACATTAATACTTCCTTCAAATCCAGGTCAATTTCATTGGCTGGACTTTTTCCTCCTCCCCATAATTCTGACGAGGAGGTGGCTTCCCACCTTCTCTGCCCTGTGCGAGCTCTCGCACAATATGTTTCACGCACTTCAGTGATTCGCCGCTCACA